TTACAACGACTGGAAAAAAAATTGGGGTGCCCATGCTCGTTGGTGAGCTAGAGCCATTTTTCAACTGAAAGAGCTCAGTATCAAGGCAAATCCGTCATGTTTTCAATATGCGCGTGCACAAGCGCGCGCTTTTGACGCCATAAATTATGCGCAGTAAGGATGCGCAATGCAAATGTGAGGAATGACCGTAATTTCTAAGTAAAAAAATCGTCTTTTTTTATTGTGACTTTTTATTTTATTTTGTTTCCATTTTATTTTTCTTTTTTTGCAAGATAATTACAGCAGAAAATTTTCAAAACCAGATAGATAAAATAAAAAAAAAAAGAAAGAATAAAAAGAAAAAAGAAGAAACGGAAAATAAAAGGAAAAAAAACCCAACTAAAATTAAGAAAACAACAACAACAACAACAACAACAACAGGAAAGATATAAAAACTCTATGGCCCTTATGGGTCACCATACTTGTCCAACAGTTGTTAATGTATTTGTACGTGTACCTATGGAGCCTCGTTCTCAGAGTTTTTTTTTTTTAAATTTCTAAAGGAAAATCGCCTTGGGAACGAATTTGGCGCCTATGCAAAACGTAGATTTTTCCATTGCTTAAAAGCAATGACTCACTATACTCGACTCTGTCAAAAAGAATATGTACTGAGCGAAGAATACTGCACAAAGTCATCATCAACTTAATTCACTTGTTGCTTGTAGACTGATAAACTTTATTAAGCCATGCAGACCGCTGGGGTGGAAGGAGGAAGCGGAAAGTGCTATCGATGGCGCTGCGTTAACAATATACAACCTTCAATGTCTACGTAAAAACTATCAAGCTTTGCGACTTGCAAACCTTGAAGTTTCTATGGCAACCATATATTAACAATCACGTTTTTTCCAAATTTGGGTGGAATCTGCTAGTTACAAGGTGTTGTACAGAAATTTAAAACTCAAGAAGGTTGAGGGGGCCAGGAGTTCTGTTCCCAACCCTCCTCCTGAATGGATTTGTACCTGTTGTGTGTGCAATTTCGATGATGATGATGATGTTTCCGGGTCCGGAATAAGTATTAAAGCAACCACAAAGAGAAAACTAAACAAAACAAGACTGTTGATGTTCGACCAAGCAATTGACGGATCTACAAGGTAAAGATTCAGTTAATAAACGCCTCCACTAGAATGCCTGGAGAAAATACGATGGTCAGGCTGGCCATCGTATTTTCTCCAGGCATTCTAGTGGAGGCGTTTATTAACTGAATCTTTACCTTGTAGATCCGTCAATTGCTTGGTCGAACATCAACAGTCTTGCTTTGTTTAGTTTTCTCTTTGTGGTTGCTTTAATACTTATTCCGGACCCGGAAACATCATCAAATAACAATCTCTTTCCCAGGGCTTTACCCTTTGAAATCACAGGTAAAGGCCCTGGGAACGAGGTTGATCAAATAACTAAGCTCAAAAGAATGTTTTCATCATAGTTGACGGCTTCCATGGATCTAAAACGCCATTACTTTCGATTCGTAAGTAGTCAGTAAAGCTTTAATGGAGGAAGCCTATAGAATACCGTGGTAGCACAAAGTCCTTACTCATAAACCCGGCGTACATCCTAAGTGGGTTGAGTTTATAGTTAGTTCTCGCCTTGCTCCGAGGTGTTTTCTCCGCCTTCTCTTGTTTTTCTTTAACTCCCAATTGCAATTAAATTTGGAAACAGTGGACGAAGAGTCTCTCCGGGGGTTATGCCACTACCAATTCCAATTAAACTTCAAGAGTATTTAATTTGTTAAAATTATAAATGCATCAACGGAATTGTTATTTTAATATCAATATTTAAATTGAGCTCCCCTCGTTTACACGATATATTTCTTAAAGTGAACGCATTTTTCAAATGTTGTCACTAATTAGCGGTATTCTAATGTGCAATGAGGAGTTATTGTTTATATGGCCCAGAAAACCGAGTTAGAAAGCATAAAATAAATAAATAATAATAATGAAATAAGAATTTTCTCCAAAAGAAACAAGTCTGCAGCGTCGGCTATGGTTAATTCTGTTCAGTCTGAGCTGACGTAATTATTTGATTATATAAACACTACTATTGGTCAACATTTACCCAATCGGAGATTCACTGAACGCCTATAAATTAATAAGGAGATGTTTAATGACACCTTTCTAGTTATTATTTGTTGTTACATATTTACATGCGGCCTCCTTGTTGGTATCGAATACGCAACCGGTAAGGGTTCTCCAAAATAGGGAATCTCTGAAGTCAGTGGGGGATCTCTAAAACGAAGAATCTTATGAGTCAAAAGGGGAAGGAACACTTTTAAACAATTTCCTTTTAAACAATTTCCGCCATCTTAGAGATTCCCCCGTCTGTTACTCGATCCTCTGATTTCCGGTTCCATCTATTACTAGAGTGTTTGATATTTGTTGAGTTCCGGTACATTACAACACTCGACGAGGGGAGATCTGTGGAAAGCAGTGTCATTCATGCAATCACTGGTATATCGAAATGATATCGATGATAAGAATGAGACGTTTTATACTTCAATTTCCAGGTTTTGTTTGTTTTTTATTTTTTATTTTAAAAAAAATAAAATAAAATAAAAAAATAAAAAAACTTGTAGACAATGCGTGATAGGATTATTTTGAAGGTTGTACTTCCACCACGAATATTTAAAAGAGTTAAAATTACATTTGACGAGTGAAAATTCACGATATTACGAATGATATCAAGAGACTATGGTCCGATAGACTATGGTCATAGTCTCTCGATGATGTTAATTAATTCGAGCACGGTGTTCATGAAGATGGATGGCACGTGTATGATGTCAACGTACAGTACCACAGAAAGATGTTTATAGTTCATTGACTGTAGCGGACCTGAACAAACTGATAATGAAAAGTTTGAAAAGCTGGTTTAAAGCAGCTCAGTCACGGTATTTTGAGTTATTTTGGAAACCTGAAAATAGTAGTTTACTAAGATAGAAAAGCACCAAAGAGTTAATAATCAGTAAACCATAAAGGAACAAGGATGATCAAGGTAGGAGAAGATTAACACGGATATTACAAACGGCGAACTTGAAAAATTTAGGTGAAACTTTTCAAGATGCACAAACCTTGACGTAGCTCCTAAAAAAGGGCTTTGCCAAATTAATTGCCAGTAGCCTGCAATACTGACAAACAAGACATCATCTGTTATACGAGATCAGTGACTTGTCTGGGGAGGCTTTCTCTTGTTGTAAACGTGGTACTTTATTTCAAACAAGTGCGTAATGTAAACATATTTCCTAAAAAGGCTGCTTTCAGTTTGTAAACACCGACAGTATGCGCTTTAGCTCACACTGTGTGGCGATGTTACTATTGTTGTATAAGTAGCACATATTATATTTCACTGCTGTAATCGCACCAAGCTGCACGATATCAGAGAAAGCCGATTATTGTCATTGTTCCGACTTAAACTAATAAGAATTGCAAAACAGTGGAGTAGAAATTTTCGACGAACAAAAGTGAATATATTATTGGACCTCTAATTTATTTATAAAGTTTTCTATGTTCTTTTTTTTTCGATTTACTGAAAATAAATCAACGTTCGGAGAACCATAAGCTACTTAATGGTAAAATAAATAAATATGAACAAATAAAGCTCTTCATTTCCGACTCCCTGAAGTAAAATTGTAAAAGAACAAATATATATGTGTTTCTTTTTTCAGGCGTGTCTAGTAGGCTTCTAATCATGAATTTTTACAGAAAGAATCACGTTTATACAATAGATATTAAAACAATGTAATTCACCTTCCATTGAAAAATTTACAATTTAGATTCATATTTTCCTTGAGAGTGAGGTAAGCCTTGCGAGATCTGAAGATTACGTTTTACCGCACAGGTACAATAAACATGTTGAGAAGGCGCGGCGTGCTTTAGTGATATTTTGTGTTAAAGCGAGGCTATACGTGGCGTTTGAAGTAAAAAAAAAGGATAATAATAATGTATTCGTTTATTAGCGTTGAAAGATCTTGACGTAAAGTAAAGCTCAAATTTGATTAACCCATATTTTTTAAATGAATTTAAAAGGAGTGAAAAAACAACTCCCTAAAAGGGAAAACCAGGTTTTAAAACCTGGCATCGCGCGCGGACCAACTCCCGCGCGCGACTCATGACGCATGCGCCTAATTTGCATTACGTCACGAGTCACTCAAATTGTGCAACTGCTTAAAATATTTCCTTGCCACGGCGTGTAGTCCCTTACTTCTGTTTGCCTTCCGTGTGGAAGAAGAGTTCAGTAGTGCAGCAAGATTTCAATGTGGAGATTCAATCTTGTAAGTTAAGGTTTATTCAAGTGTGCTTGGTCACAGAATGGCTTGGCGATTCGCATGTCAGTGCAAGAGCTAGTTTCGTCGTTCGCATCGATAGCAACCCTTTCTTTACTAACGAATTTATTCATCAACCGGTCGACGTCTCCCTTTGCCAAGGCTTAGGCTCTCACGAGACTCCCTTGATTCTTGGGACTGAGTTCAAACGCGTTAACGAGGAGCGTGTACTCATTTAACAGACTCAAATCTGTTTCGGTTTTCACAGGTCTACGGCAGTCGCGCACACACTTTTATGGAGTTCATCATCGACAGTGGAGATTGGTGTCAGGCACAACACGAGTGAGGCGCTGGCGAGTTTCCGTTGAATGGGTTAACCTACATCACTTAAAGCACGGCTAGGAACAGCGAATTTTACTGAACCTTGGTAGAAATCAAATTTGTAAGAAATAGAATTAATGACAGACATGAAAATGCCTTCTGGAACCCGAGTACCTAATAACCAAGGGAGATCCTTACATGGACCTGGCCCTGTTATGGTGGAGCATAAGAACATGAAGTTTTTGATCACAGATCGTCCCACGGACGCGACTTTGCCACGTTATTTAGAGGTAAATGCCTTTCCCAGAGGTTAAACGGTCTTCTCACCGAAGTGAAACTGACAGAACGATGCGTTTTCTTTCAGGATCTCAAGAAATACGACGCTCATATTGTTGTGAGGGTGTGCGAACCGACGTACAGCGTGGATTTATTGAAGAAGCAAGGAATAGATGTTTTGGTGAGCTAAGTTAAATTGATTCCTTAATGTTTCATTTTTAGACGCGGTATTGAACCTAAATTTGGAAGCGAAAGAAATATTGGCATAGGAATAGATACGATTTTGTGAGGGAAGTAATCGATTGCGCTGAGTCGGCGTGGCCATTTTGTCTTTGATTTTCGTGTTCTCATGCGTTTGCAATGCTAATTTCTGGAGTTTGTTTAATGTTGGCGGTAAAATCCTACTTAGTTATTCTGATCTCTTATGGTTTTCCCTGTACTCGATCATTCCTATAAATATCCCCATTGAATGCCTCTCGAATTTGCACCGAAATGAACATCAGATGAAACGAACAACCCCTATTTAAATCGAAACTGAAGTGTTGGCATATTTGAAGTCTGTGGGATCGCCACCGGCACACTGTCACATTTTTCGTAGCTTTTGACACGATATATGTGTTTTTTTCCTTGTACAACTCGCTAGCTCAATTTCTAGTAATTTCCCCCGTGTTTCTGGAAGGTTCTTTTGGATGTTTGCCTCCAAAAATTTAGTATTTTGTAATCGATCATTTTCGCAAACCTGCTTTACCGGCTTCGGACAACAGACTTGCAAAACATGGTAAAAGAGTTGTCAAACAAGATTTACATGCCGGCTGCTATAAGGCCGGGGAAACTGTCGATCGATTCGTTTACTTTCTCGATTTTGAAAGCTCTATAATAACGAGTTTTGCGTTCATATTCGTTGATGACATTTCACAGGATAATTCGGTTTTAAACATGGGCAATAGTTCATTTACTGTACAAGCACTTGCGATAGTCTTGTGACCTAAATATTTATTATTAGCTATTCGAGCGTAATTAAACGCGAAAATTTAAAGCTAAAAGGAATCTGTTTTTGAATGTAGCACTTTGTGGCTTTACTTACTAGCTACAAGTACCACAGTACCAGTTTCTAAACAGAGTTATCCTACAGTCTTGTGAACCACTGAAATTTATTTTCTGGTTTTTCTAGTATACCCAATCATGGTTTACAAACTGTCTAATGTATTTAAACTGCTTCGATATTAACATATAAGGAAGTTTTTTATGTTTTGCACTACCACATTACTGCACATATCAAGCAGATGTGCATTGTGTTTACAGTAGATGTGGTTTTTGCCTCAAGATCGTCATGTTTATAAAAAAAGAAAAAAAAATCCAAACATTCTTTTCATGCTTCCTCCTGTTTAACGGAAGTTGTTATTTGCTAACGTTAAGTTTAATGCGGAAATTATCACTGTGTCAGCCTTTTACATACCAAGCTGCCAATTATAACATTTGCAAAATATTTATCAAATTTTCAATTGGGGAAGATTGAAAAGTAGACTATAGCACTCTCGACAGGACTGCTAAACTGCTCTCCTATAAATAATAATATTTGTCTGGGTATTTTGTGAGAACAGTGTTGAAGAAATCCTGTTCTGCTCAAGCAAGGGAGATGATATACATGTAAAACTAAAAGGAATTGATTCAGTCTTCTTTTTTTCCTCCATTCTCTTATCTTCTTTTTCTTGCAGCTCTCTCTCTCTCTCTCACTCTCTTTTTTTTTTATCCCTTGGAGTGATTTTATGGCATTTAGGAGTCATGAAATCAAAGTGCACATGGGTGATTTTGTTCAAAGTTTTGACATGGTTTTCATTAATCCAGTCATACATGTATCTAAATGACAATGATGGATTTTGATTCCATTAAGGGCCAGGCACCAGGGAAATTAACTGACTGTGAGGTTGATATTGCCTGTCTGGTCTGACCATCTGGAGGAAGGTTTTTCTTAAAAGGAAGTTCAGTTCAACAAATTTTGACTGCCTGTGAAAACCTATTGTCTTTCTGCTGAAATTGGCAATGAAACTCCTGGGTTTGGCTGTGAAAACAAACAGGGCCACTTGAAAGAACTGATTGATAGATTTCATTGAAATGGTTCCCCACAAGGATTTCATTGACATCTGCTTATGTGATGTTTGAAAAGATTTAAAAACTGTTCATTTTTGGAAAAAAGGCAAAACTTTTGCAATAGTGCATTTTTGTTGTCATGAATACAGATAGGGAGAAATATTTTACCCTTCACTCTTTTGAAGTATTTTGTTTTGGTATCTGCTGTGCATAAAGCATGTCATTTTACATGAAGCACATTGTCTGAGAGTACAAAGCTTTGGAATGATGCCAATTTACATGAATTTTCTGACATGCAAAGGGATTTCCTCACAGCATAATTGTTGGTTTTCTAAACAGGAAGTCGTACAAAGTTTTCATTATTTAAATCATAAGGACCAATTCAAGGAAGTGATGGATTGGAAAGTAGAGAAAAACACTTGAGAATTGCTTTTGATTTTTCTCTACACTTTTTCAGCTTCCCCCAATATTCTCATGTCCTTTTACTTGTAAAAAGCACTACAATGTTAATTAGATTTTTCAATGTTTTAAGGTGTCAGTTATTAAAGAAATCAGTAAGAATGAAATAAGCAGAAATGAATAAGCAAAATGAATGAGCATTACTTAGCAAAGAGCAAAGCAACATTCTTTAGGAATGCGGTACTTAAATGTATTCTTGAAAATGCCTGTTAGTTTTTCATCTTTCGTATTGCACATATTCAAGGGTGGCACCTGAACTTTAGAATCAAGGGCAGGGGATTTTCAAGTCAATAGTTATGATATTTACAGTATTATATTTGTATTTGTGTCGACGAGTGGTTGATATGTACATGTAAGTTAAAGCAAATTTGCAAGTTCCGTGCAAACGTGTGTTTGTGACCAGTTGTTTTGATTTTCTGCAGGACTGGGCCTTTGATGATGGTGCAGCACCACCTAAAGAAGTAGTCGAGGGCTGGCTGCAGTTGCTAAAAAAGAAGTTTAAAGAAAAACCAGGATCTTGTATTGCTGTGCATTGTGTGGCAGGGCTTGGCAGGTTAGTTTGGTTCCTTTTTGCTGACAATATATACTAGACCTTGAGATAAGCAACTGCTCTCTGTTTTCTCAGTCTGTCAGCATGAGATTAAATACATACACATGTACAAATGTAAACAAGACTAATACCCACAACTGTGCAGGTACTGACTTGCCAATTCATCTCGATGTTTTCAAGAGATTTTTGCTCTGAGTGACTTTTTTAATATTTCTTTGGACACAGACTAGTAATTAGATCTAATTATCTTTAGGTACACTTTGAATATTTTCCAAGTACTAAATACATTTTCTAGGTCTTTGAACAGCATTTACCAGGCACCCTGAGTGCTACCTTGATCATGAATTGTCACTGAAAAATGGTCTGAATTCCTGATATCCATTATCCATTACTTTTATACGAAGAAATCACTCAGGTGTATTTGACTTGGAAACAGTTTGCATATGCATCCACATGTACATGTATACTTACATGTACATGCATATTTGATTCTTGCAAGCAACAAGAAAATTCTTATCATTTACTGTTGTATCAGCTTTGTCAAAAGAGGCCAATAAATAGCAAAAATCAACATCTACATGTACTTCACAATCTTGGGCAGCAACTCCACTGGGATATTTATCTGATTCAACAGAAATAGATGGCAAATAAGTTGGCTTTCAACAACAAAGCCATCCACACTGTACTTCAAACTATATGACAACCCTGTAAATAGTAAAGGTGACACATGGATTTTATTTATTGTACACAGAGCACCAGTCCTTGTAGCACTGGCTCTTATTGAAAGTGGAATGAAGTATGAAGATGCTGTGGAATTTATCAGAAGGTACATGTACATGTATATGTCTGAATTTATAAAAACATTGTTAAAGAAATCAAGCATCAAGGTAGACAATATAAAAATTAAAAGGAATGTTGGTCTTTTTTTCCCTCGACTTTCTTATCTTCCCTTTCTTGCTCTCCTCTCTCCATTTTTTATTATTGTTATTATTATTTTTCATTGCATGGAGTGATTAAGGCCTTTTGGAGTTGTGAAGTCATACAATGTAGTGCATATGCAGGGCTGTAGTTGCCAGTAGCCTTGTTCTCCACACCTCTAGCAAACTTGTAGCTTTAATTGTGTGGCAGGTGTCTGAAGGGGAGGGCAAGGGGAAAAATGAGAGCATGAAGCACGTGAGCATCCATCCTTGAAGCGTGCTCTATCCTCCACACTCATTTTGACCCTTCCCTCCCCTTCTATGGCCTGCCACGCAGGCTAGCAAACTTGCTACTTTGTGGTTGAATTATATCAACAATGGGCAATTTTGCCCGTAGCATCAAAGGAATATCAAGCATACTCAGCTGTAACAGTTGTTACGGGTTACTGTATGACCCTTAATGACAGCCCTGCATATGGCTGTTTTGGTGCAAAGTCTAATGTGGCTTTCATAAGTTTAGCCATACATGTAATCTGAGTATTAAGCCTTTTTAGGCAGTGGAAAAGAATCCCTTCCCAGAGGGAGTAGGAACACACGTACTTCTGGTTGCTTCATGCTACAGAAACTGGGATAAGCTCCAGTAGTATGGACCACTTGTTTGCTTTATCTACATGTACATGTATGTAATTCAGTTCTATCATTTCTCTCTCTCTCTCTCTTCTTAATTTTGCAGGCGAAGACGAGGGGCAATTAATGCTAAACAACTAAGTTATCTTGAGCAGTACAAGTCTTCAAAACTGCTTAGGGAGAAAGGAGGAGCCAATTGTTGCATCCAGTAAGGCACAGGCAGCATTTAACCTTGACAACAAGAAGTAAAAATGCTGTCAATTAATTAATGTACGTGTTTTATTGTAAAGGAAGATTTCTGGATAAGTTATTTTTAGGGCTTGACTATGGAATTCTGAAGAGCCTTTTAAATAGCAGCAGATGTTTTTTCTGTCTAAGTGACCAGATGTCTATGTAGTTAGAACAGTGAAAGCAATGAATTTCTTTTCTTTGTCCATTTTTTTTTTTTATATAATAATTCGACGAACACAGAGAAGATGGTTGCCACGTGAGACTCAAATTATTATTTTAGGCGAGCTGATGGAGGCAGCTCTGTTCTAGGAGCAAAAACAGCAGCATCTACAAAGCTTTGTGACAGGTTCAATAATACAGGAATGTAAGGCAAACAAATCATAATAAAGCAGGGGAATTTCATAAAACAGAACATGGTCAATAAATTTGATAAAATTGGATGAACATCTAGTGTGAACTGTTTTCTTTTTTCTCATACTTGGCTAGTAAATAAATTTTGTATAGAGAAGACATGTAGTAACTGTCAGCTTGTAAATTAAAACATGTTTAGCAGCAGTTATCAACTGATTCAATCCTCCACCCAGGGTGTGCCTAGTCACCAATTTCTTGTTCTCCACGACAGTTTATTATAGGCTGCCAGGTTATGACAGTGTATGATCTAATCAGCTAAGAAAAAGGCTAATTCTTCCACAGAGACTTGTGTTAATTGCAGTGCTGAATGGACTTTTAGATCACTGTATCTTTCAATAGTAAACTGCCAATTAACAGTTGCATTTTACTTTGCTGTCTGTCAGATGTCATCAAAACATCAGAACAAAAAAAAAATGACCGTAATGAATTGAAAAAAGCTCATGTCTACATGTAAGTTGAGATTGGTGATTACTGGCAATACAGTTATTTGATTATTTTTTTTTTACGGGCTTATTTCATTTACGTATTGCCATAATAATTATTATGATTGACAGCAGTATAATGTGCAGCTGTTACAGGTAGGTTTTTAACTTTGAGGCTTTGCATTATTGCAAAGTGCAGTGCCACTATTTTTTCCTTCAGTTCCAAGCTGAGAATATCTAATTTCGTTATGCTCAGTATTACATAATAGTTTGAATTATTTTTCTTGAGTTATTTATTAGATTATGAGAATTTAAGACTAGAAGACAACATGATTGTACAGCTGTACCTATTTTTTCTTCTCTTTGTGTAGTTGGAAGGGAGAATTTACATGTAGCATGCTGGGGATGACCATTCTATTACCAACTTGGATTTTTACTGCCTTTTTGTTTTGTAAGAATACTGACCATCTTAACTTCAAGCAAAAGCGGCAAAATAATGTTCTTGCCTAGACTAGGTGTCCAGGTACATCTGTTAGAGGTTTCAACTGTATGCTGTTTTTTGTTTTTTTTCATTTTCATTTCTCTTACAATGTGACTACTCCGACCAACACTAGTTAAGCAAATTCTTTGCAAATTGACCACTGACAGTTTAGAAACTTGTGTTAAAATAGTTACTAATCAAAATAAGCACAGATCTGGGGCCTCTGTAATGCACAGCTTGATTTCTAACATAATTTGTCAGAAAACTATTGTTAACATCTCCAATTTTCACTAAATTTTGTTGGGCAGCCTTGGAAAGAGTAAGTCGCACCGTAAAAAGTGTTTCCATTTTAACAGTATTTGTGTAGTTTCATTAACAGTTACATGTACATGTTACAGGCATACCAGTTAGTACTATTATTGAGGTACCCAATTCCACTTGGAAATCTGCATTTTCTCAAAGAATAACTGGGAGCAATGTTTTTATTATCTGCATTACAAGGGGGTGATTAAGTTAAATAAGAGTATTTCAAAGGAAGTAGAATAATCTAATCTCAGTTAAATAACAAAGCACAGTGATGTAGATATAGCAGCCAGTATGCAAGATTTCAATCTTAATTTCACAGTACATTAGCACTCAAAATTAGGACTACAAATTGTACTCATTTTATTTTTGTGCCGGCACAAAAAAGAAGTATAGTGAACCTCAGAATTACATGTAGATCTTTTATTATTTTTCAAATCTTAAAGTGCAAAGGGCATTCAGTGTGTTTGACAGTGATTCAGCTGGTTCAGTTCCATTGCTACATCTGTGATTCGTGGATAGAACTTATGCATGAACGTGCAAGTGGCTGAAGTAAAATTATAACTCAGATTGAAGTAGGTGCCAATTAATGATAATACTCTTGATTTTCCTAAACCTTATTGCATTGCCTGCCTGACAAGTTTTGGAATTTCACCTTGTCAATACAACTTTCATAGAACTGAAAACACGTTTCTGGTTCTCTCTCAATAAATATTCTTTAATTACTACAAATAAAGATATTAGGGTTATTTTATCCAGGTAACATAACTAATGCACATAACAGCCAGACTCTACTTTTCTGGTTCAGTTTGAACTTTCCTTGTGTCTTTCAATGATTAAACTGAGTTTTTCTGTGGGTACAAATAATGACATGTATTCACAGGAAACTGTTTTACAAGCTCGTACAAATCAGTTTAGCGTAACTGTACATGTTTAATGAAAATAGTAATAACTGCTGTAAATAAACCTATCCTGTGTGTAGATAGCGTGTAACTTAATACAGTTACAGTGTATTTTTCTATCCATAAAAGGTAATAATCGAACTATTCTTTTAGTAGGAAGCACAAAATCTGGGAAGAATAAAGAAGCTGAAACTGTCGAAGTAGTCTAGTGTTTTGTTGTTGTCGTCATCATTTCATTTGAGTTTTTTTTTGCAAGGTAGCAGGAAAGGTACATTTTGGTGTTTGGTCCCCTATACCCCTTGACAATGACATCTAACTAATGGGCCTGAAGTGCTTTTTTTTAAAATTTGGGGAGTAGAATGAAATAAAATAAATAAATAACTAAAAAAACATCCAAGATAAAGTCCACAGAAATGAAGTTGAAATGAAGATGCGACCAACACAGTTGTATTCGGACAAAAAAAAAAAAAAAAA